CAAAGAAAATAACGTTAAGTAGGCGATTAAAATACAAATATACCTATAGAGTTATCTTTTAATGAGTGGCACTAGGTATATTTTATGATAATTGTGTAGCCCTAGTAACAACTGACTTGTTCCATTTTTAATCCTCCATTTCGTCCCGATAGCTTCTTACTACAATCATGCAGTAGATTCCGACTGAAACGAGGTAAATTATGCAGCAGTGATGTTATATTTTTTGTCACAGGCGATACTGATAGTTTCTTAAGGTACTGTAATATATTTTTTCAAAGTTTCAATTCAATCAAACATATGCCGCCTTATATCGTTCCTAATTGCGTATCTCTATCAGAAATAACAGACACTATAATATATTAATATATACTTTTCATTTCTAATATGACTAACTATAGCAACAGCGGGTTCGTTGCAACGACATAACATAAACCCGTGCTACCGGGGTTTAAGACACAGCTGTAACCCAATCCTTTGGCGATTATTGGAAGCTATCAGGGTTTAGTGGGCACGTACAGCAGCGAGTACCAATTAACCCCCGTGCTCTAGGATATCTGAATAAAAATATTCCAGATGAAATGTATACATACATGGCACGCTTATAAACCAAGAAACTGCTTGTAACGAATTGAGATATTCGCTGTTGTTTGCTAATTCCACAACGCTCATTATCCCAAAAGGGAGAGACATGATAATGCCAATTGCTGTGGTGGCGAGGAAAACTGTTGCTGTTACTCTCTTACGCTGAAAATGTATTTAGCAAGAGGTATGTAGTTTATTGAACCCTAGTGCTACGACTAAGCAAAGAGACAAAACGAAAATCTTAAATGATGTATGTTTATCAGGTATGTAATTTCACATTATTAGTTTATAGACGTATATTTAAGACCTATAACTTTCTTGGTACTTTTAAATAAGAAAATAAACTTACCATACATAAACCAACGAGAAATATAATACTGGCACCAAACGAAAGCAGTTGGGTTACAACCCAAATATATTTGAAAACCTTCATATAGTGTTTTTTCGTCTTTGCAGGGTCGAAGTAATTCAAATAGATTTAATCCTGAAACCTAATAACAAATCGTCACTGTCTAACTGTCTAACGCATGAGTAAATATAGTGGTCGAGGACCAACAGCTACCATTTTTTAATATAAAAGGAAGATGTAGAGTAAAATCCCACCATCTTCTCTACTAATTGGTTTCCCGGATTTAACTACAGCCAACACAAAATTAGTAATGCTAGTACACGTTAACTGATTTTCGATGCACGGAAACAAAAAAATAAAGCAGATGTTATTATTTATATTATCTTGGCAGATTTTGAAAGTAATGCATAGATTTTAGGAGTAAAATCTTCCTATCCCTATTTGTAGAATCTCAACTTCTCGTGCCATACAACATTCTCAATATATCACATTAAGTAAATTAAAAATCTTACAATTCCCAATAGCGCAAAGCATATTGATCCCGTTCTTAAACTTAGGCAACAACAGCATTGAGATACGGTCGGCAAAAAATCAAACATAGCCATATTAATTCTGCCTTAAAATTCCCAACAAATAAGATTATTTAATTGTATAGGATAAACATAGTGACAGTTTTAAATGACATTAAATGTAATGTTTTTAAAAAAAGAACCCATACAAAGATGGTGCGCACTGCATTACCGATGTTTGTAATCTGTGGGCTTTATGAATACTTAGGTACATACATTTCTCAGCATTTACCTGAATAAGTACTGATGAATGTCATGTCTCTTTTCCGTAACGGGTATTCAATAATTGCATAAGATGTAAAAGAAAAAAAACAACAAAATGAAACAAATTTATTTCCAGACAAAATCTTGTATACTACCCAACCAATACCGAGCTTCACCGCTCCTAGATTAGTCATCAGTGACTCCTTCTCTGTAGCTCTTAATCACAATGATGAAGTATATAAATACTGAAAAAATGTTGCAATAGTAAAGCATTAAAATATATCAACATAGCGTGTCATTAGAGGGCCAATCAAAAATGTATATAGAACATGTTCTATTTAAATCATTTCATTTAAATTACGTTTGTGAATTTTGTTAGGATAACTAAACCGCTTACGTAGCTCAAAGGTTAAAAATAGGATTGCATATAACACGAGTTCGAAATCCGGAGAATCTTAATAGTTTCTGAGACTCAGTTCACAATAGATTACGTTGAAAGACTTGCCTATTTTAAAATAAATCTATGTAGAGACATTTTAACCCCAAATTTTAAAGTAAAAGGTTGTTAACTTACGCACAACGTTGACAAGACTCGATGTTAAAATTAACTCATAGTCGCATGTTGTTTTTAGTGTAATCGCTAGTACACCGATGAAAACAAAGGCCAAATTAAAAATTATATTGATAGCTAGCGCGTACAAAAACATCGTTACTGTGATCCTTTTACCCTGAAACAGAAACCTTTAAAAAATTAAAATAAAAGATCTTATTTAGTTTATTTTAATGATAAACCGTTAACATCGGCCGCTCCCAAGTCACAGTCTTCAGAGCATCGAACTGGGGTGTAATATTTCGCCCGACTCGGGATTTGAAGCCTGGACCTCATGGGTACCTCGCACCAGCACTCTAATGAAGTACCCTGTACCCTGTATATCAAGGACACAGAAAACCAATCGTACTAAATAAACATACCCATATAACTCCAAGGAGGAATATTATTGCCAATAGTATTGTAGCCACCTCGGATGCAGCACACACACGACGTAAGATTTGTATAATAATTGATTCCTTTTCACACTTCTCAAAGTATATTAGCGCAGGCAAATGAGTACCGGAGAACTTGTAGAGAAATAATTTAAGTATATCAACATAAATATCGATTGATAAATTAATTTCAAAATAATAGAGCTAGATCATATTTTGGTAGTACGTCTAGAGGTACTAACAATTGCATATAAGCCAATGAAGACAGATCCAACCGTTAAATCACAGCAGTAACAACACGAGTTGACATTTGGCAAGGATTGGAAGATGGCCATTTTGTGAAGCGAACTGGGTCCTGATTTAAGTTAACCTAGTGGAAACAAATAATGTTTCCGCTATTTACATTATAAAATAATCTATTTATACTGTATGAAAAACGAAATGAATTCTTCTTCAGAGTATCAATGCTTGACAACTCAGTTTAATGTACCTATTCTACCTCCTGTCAGATATTTTGTACCTAAAGATACAAAGACTCGAAGGCGAATAAGTACCACAGATTATAAAAATATGTTTTTATGTTTTTTTTTAGTATTTTCCAGTAATCGTAGTTGTTTAAAAGACCTACTAAAAAAGGTAATAAGTACCTATTGTCACAGTTTTTCCTCGTAATTATTATAATCATTAGTTTAATATCTTCTTCTATTTAAACGGAAATGCAGATAAATAAATATATATGTTTATTATTCACGTAAAACTAAATACTTCTATGATTTTTATTTATCTCGTCCATGCATATGAGTTTATAATGACGATGAAGTAACTCCACACTGTAACAAAACAAGTTAATGCAATTTTGAATAAGATCAGAGTAGACATTTAAATAAAACACTAACGGTTTAAATGATGAAATGACGGCAAAATGCTTTACAGCAGCCGTGCAAAGCGTTCGAAACGTCGGGCCGTAGTTAAAACTAATTATCACACAAGTTTAACTAAAATATATCGTGTTTTAAACCGTAAACCATTTTATTTCAACATGATAACGTTCACGTAATAATGGTCACGGGGACCACGGCTGCTGCAAAGCATCCGAAACGTCGGGTCGTACTTATAAATAATTTTCAATCAAGTTTAACTAAAATACCAAAATTGTAACCGTTAAAGTGTTTATTTTAACAGAATAACGTTATTTTTTTGTAGATTGCTTATTTAGGCGATACTATGTAGTGCTATTAAATTCGTAACTCACTTATAAAATATAGTATTATGTGGAATATTTGTGAACAATACCAACGACAGTCAGTGTTTTGTTCCTGTATAAGCATAAAGGCCGCGTACGGAATCGAAAGAAGCGACGTAAGCGAAGCACTTATAGATATAATATCTGCTGTTACAGGATAATGCTGGAACAAAGATAATGATCTTACTAATAAAACATGCAAAATTACAAGCTTCTTAAAGCCATATAATGTACGTATTGTAATAATCAAGAGTGAGAATTTTGCTTTTACAGTTAATATTAGACTACTCCTTTTTTCTTTAAATGATTTAAGGATATAGGTATACTTTAGAACAAATTGTATTGTATACTAGCTAAATTAATAAATAAAAGCTCTATGACAGATCGAGAATTATGCGAATAGAAAAAAGAATAAAGAGAATTACCATAAAAATGCCGAGAAGAAAAGAGAAGCAGCTAGCTATCAGTAATAATTCAAATGTGAATAGGATCCACCTCAGGATATTCAGGACGTTAACAACTGAACTGGATACATCAAACAGTTCCTTACAATATGGTTTACATAACAGACCCGCTGTGTGCATGCTAGAAAGCTGAAAATATTTCATGTATAAACTCTAGGATATCTTTCTTGAACATGTTTATTTAAAAGCTCACCATCCCTAAAACTATTATGATGATACAAGAGCACTTCAAATTTCTAGTACATTTACTGAATCTGTCTACTTTTGGTAAAAAACTGAATAGTCCCATTTAATTTATAATAAATTCTCGCTTTCTTTTTATTTATATGAATATTGACATTTTTATGACATTTTAAGAGTGCCCACAGAATATTATGTTGGTTAGTAGTAACTCAAGACAAATTTGCGCAAATTTTCTTTATCTGTATTCCCTCAAAATAGCTCGGTTAATATATGCATTAAATACTATATATTTAACAGAAAATAATTTGTAGGATGAGTATGGATATTATAACAAAGGTATTAAATAAGACTTCTTTCAACACAGCGTTTATTGAAAATTAGTGACACAGCACCTTAATAATCTTATTGTACATCTCGCCCGCTCATACCCTTTGAACTTTGGGCGAATTAGGTATTTTTCTTCTTCCTGTATCACGTCGATTTCTGTCTGTAGGAATACACCACTATTAGAAAGTAGGACCACACTGAAAAACAGAAAAGAGATAAATATTCCTTCGTTACCTATACTTTTCCGCGTATAATTTTTGTATTGAGTCTGCGCAAATCTACGAATTCTAGCCACCACGCCTAGTTTTGGTTGAAGTTTTTTGGAGTATGTGTGTACAACTACTAAGAAGTGAAGCCACGTTGTCCATGCTGAAAAAGGGGAAGGTTTAAACCTGTTCATAACATTTTGAGACTTAGCTCAAACTGTATAAGACTTCAAATCCGTAATCAGACTTAATAGCTTTGTATATCCTGTGATAAGATAATACTATTCACTTAAAAAAATACAAATTGAATATAAGAATGAATGAAACGAACGAACGAAAGAATGTAGGTTTGTGATGTAGTAAAAGAAAATGTCACTCACTTATTAAATCAACAAGCGCGAAAACAAATTCGAAAATTGGGAATGCACCGCCCATATGAATGCAAGCTGATACATAGAGAATGCCATAGACAAAAGATAGTATTACTGCTGTCAGACCAGACATAATAAAATATTTCGCCGCCTGCTGTCCTTGGCCCTGAAAAATTTATTACAGTTTTATTGAAAATCATAAGACATAGGCTAATATTAAGCATATCTCTTTCTCGATATATATAGGTTTACTGCTCTATACTACATTTGATTATTAGTAGTCTTTAGTTAGCAAAGTTACGATTATGTTTTTTTTAATATAGATAAGGACAGCACGGGGTTCAATTTATAGGAGATGAAATATCCCAACCATATAACATTTAAACTAGATGTGTAGTCGACTTAATTTGGCTCTGGATATTTGTGGCATTATTAGACTACAGCATTGTAAACTTATTTAGAAAAAAAACACGATCGCGTCCTACACACATTTTTAAACTGTCAAATAAGGATAACATGACTTGTAAGTACTTAATATATAAGACTTAATTACTGAACTCTGCTTCTGCACAGATTTTTTACTCACGTATACTTGTAGCAAAGAGTAAAACCATTTACTCTCTTATTTGTTGTACCAAAGAGTCAAGATCCCTGTTTTCATACTTACCCTAAATAGCTTCACTAACAGATTAATGCTACATAGCAGAAATATAGAATCCGTAGCCAGCACGACCCATCCGAAAAATCGTACGACGGCAATAAATTGTGCATGTTTGTCTGCCACCTGGGTACCTTCTCGTAGCAGAGTTGTCGGTGCCGCGGAAGCCGTTGCGTTTCTTATCATACATGAGGGCCCGAGACCGGCGTTTGCGCCGAATCCAAAACTTAACTGCAAGATATAAATTACGAGTTAAACAAATATTCTATGGACAATATATAGGTCTAGTACTAGTCTACTATTCGTTTTATGCTCTTAGGGTAGACAAACTTTCTTAGAAACTTCATCCTCACGAAACTAATACAAAAAATAATATGTTAGTTAGGGATACACTCAGATGCATAAATATGTATAATTTTTATTACTATAAGTTTTATGGGTATGGAAAATAGCCATATGGTTAAACACGTCGCTTAGCACAGCGTTAAGAACATTAGATCCTAAATTCGAATTCCGAGGAACAATACATACTATATGTAGGCCAAAGAAGTCTAATTAATTACTTGCTGAAAATGGATCAGTGAAACGTACTCAGTTTTTTTTATACTTACGTAATAGCAGGTGTTAACTCACAATATTATTAAGATTAATGTCCACCACATCTGCGCGTGAGGAGCTCGCGGTTACAACGCAGGACACGCGGATCACATATGCGTGACGAACGACCGCCCACGATACTAAGGGGCATGTCACCTGCAAATATTTGCTGTCGTTACTATGTAACATATATTCGGGCTATATATATGGCTTTCTTTACTGCACTTTATGTGACTACGACTGTAAATATAACCAGACGGCCATCTATCACTCTAAATTTAATCCATTAGAGAAATGGACCCGAGAGTTTGCCTCATGCCCCACATAGGAAAACCATGATACCAGATCGTAATAGGTTTTAAATCAATTTAGTAGATTTTTTTACATTTATAACATATAATTACTGTACTTTTTCTTGTCTATAAACAGTTACACAACTCGGGTTATGTTAATATTTTAGTAGGTGTGCTTTAATCCTGTTATTAGTGAAGCGGCGTGGTTGGTCTAAGCCTGATTTTCTCCTATAAAACAACTGTGTCCAGAAGTAGGAAATTAATGAATACTTTGAGAACACATACAATTCCCAGAACGGCAATAATAGCAGCGGCAGCTTTAATATCGTTTACGCAACCACAGCAAGAGTCCACTTCTGGAATTCTAGCATTATGAAAAATGCCCGGGTTAGACATTTGATTTGTTAATTTCAACGGATTTTAAATGAATTATTAGCATACGAATTATTAAATTTGGACAACTAAATATTAAAGTCAATAAACTTGTGACTTTGTTTATGATCAAATGTCAGACGCTCACAGAGACGAGATAAGAATAATTTAAATCACAGATTATTATTTTACACAGATAATAAATAAATATGATATGGCCATTTCGGTGGCTAAATTATAGAAGAAGTCTTTAGCTCGAGTACTAAATATATTGTGAAAGATGGAATTAAATATTACGATCAAGAACTATATACATCCAGATTAAGATTTACTTTCTTATATTTGTAACAGATTACATAAATAGATCCATATCTCTTATCATGAAAGCCTACATGAGACATAAACTATTTATGTAAAGGTATTAATATCGATTTTATGGTAAGGGGAGGAAGAATAAATGACATACCTATCTCCAGTTTACAAAAGTTACTTGCTCGAAAGAGCCACAGCATTAGATACTGAATATAGTATTATTATTAGTAATTTTAGAAAGGATCCAAATAACGAGGCTTAGTGAAAGCCCCGAAACCCCGGGATTTCAGCATTATTGCTTTAGAGGAAGCTTTGGGAGGCTTCAAGGGCGGGCGGTGAGCCCTCTTAACAAGATTACATTGGAGATAAAATGGCTCACATAATAGCACCCGACTAAACCCAGCCGCGAAGATGCGAAACTCTAAAACAAAATTAAAATGAAAATGAAGAAAATTAAAATATGCCATTTCTGTATATTTTCTTTATCAGACAAATGAAGACAGGGAAAATATTCTTTAAGTATATTTCCTAAGATATAAATCCTTTTTTAAGTCTACCAATAATCTTTTTAGTAGTATTATGAACTGAGTATAGTAGTTTCTTCTATCAAATACCAAGTTTTTCGTCAAATATATGTCTTCTTCGGAAAGTATACCTACATTATATTTATTTAAAAAACAGGTAAATGCCTTTTTTAGGGGAACACAAAATACTTAGGTATATAGGCTATATGCCCACTAAACGATAGTATCGATCCTCTGAACCCCACTCGCTTGTTTCAAATTCAATTCGTAGAGTGGAAATAACAATAAAACTTGATCCAGCCTGTATCTTGACTTTACATCACCTGTGCCCAGACGTGGACTGCATGTAGTTGTTTTTAATACACAGTTTAGTTTTCAGTCCATTAAAAATATTATTTCTTTATAAATATATCTTGTTCCAAAATAACTATCACATTTATCATGAATTCGAAGTATTTGGGTCCCTGAATTATATTCCTTAAAAAAAAATCTGTTTTTCTTGTTTTAGTTCGTAAATTCTTAATAAACCTGTCAAAGTCTAGAAGATCAAAATAAAGCCGACATCTTTATTACGAGTTCGTTTCTGAGAAGGAACGCCTTCCCACTAGATTCCTCACGTAGAAATGAGAACTTACTGAGAAATGCCAAAATAAACGTCTTGCGCTGAAGGTCGTTTCAGAACTAGGAGGTAGTTCTATTTTTTTATAACCACAACCTTATCTTTTTTGTACTCGCTCGAGGCGATCAAATCGCGAATTGTGTTCCGCGATAAATCTTCTCAACCCAGTTTTATTTATTAAGTTGTATGACGTTTTACGATCCGTCTTAGGGGCGCTCATTACCGCGCTATGGGAAAAACTTCTGTGGGTCTTGCAACATTAATTGCGAAACTTTTCTCCCTAAAGTTCAAGACAGCTTTAATAATGTAGCTTTACGATTTTCGGGAAAAATGGGAAACGAAATTCACGTCCACTGATAAGAACTTTTGTCGAGATGCGGATAGTAAAAGTCTGACGGCACGTAGGCGAGCAGGTCTCGGCGTTTTATGTCGGCAATTCGGGGCGTGCACAAAAGAATTGCTAACGTAGATGTTGAGATGTCGCGCCACCCGGCCATAGCAGCCCAGGCATGGAGCGTGAGCCAAATGTTTCTGCTATTCAAGAGATATTACGACCTACGGTATCTACGTTCGTGAATTTTCGATCGATCACAAATATCTCGTATGTAATTTATTTCTTTATATAAAGAATGGTGAAAGAGATATTGTGTATTTTGTCTTGCTAACGACACCTAAACCACACCTACTAGTGAAAAAATGAATATAGAAATAACGATTAAGTAAGATAAAAAGCACAAAGTAAAGATAAAATAAAGTTAACTACAAAAACCTATTATTACGTATGATAATAGGTATAATATATTAATAACCTATATTCATTATTAAATAATAACTAAATTCATTTAAAAAAACCCTCTTGATAAATTCATTGAACTAAAAATGTATAGAACATATTATGATGTTATAGAAGTATATGTAGCGTAAAGATGTACTCTCTCATACAATAATTTATGCTCCAATCTCAGACTCCAATATTTCATTCGGACAACCAGTCAATTGGTAATTTACTTGTTTCGTGCTACATTGTCTTAATGAGAAATTAAATTTACGACTCGTTTTTGTTTTACGTAGATGTCTACATACGCACATAAAAGATAAAAAAAATCTTCACCTTCATATGTAGTGTATTATTTTGGCGTTTATTAACAATTAATATTAACCTATAAGGTTGAGTACCTAGTAATATACCTAAATTAAAAAAAAAAACATAAAAAGATCCTATACTGTCTATAGTTTATGCGAGCAGTACACATTTAAATAAAACACTTTAACGGTTTCTAACGCGAAATATTAGTTAAACTTATTTGAAAATGATTTTCATTCAAAGCATCCGAAACGTCGGGCCGAAGTTAAAAATCATTTTCAAATAAGTTTAACTAATATATCGCGTTTTAAATCGTTAAAGTGTTTTGTTTAAATAAAAATATCCTAATGATATATACTTAATTTGTTTTACTAAGAACATAGGTACCTACCTATATTATATACCTACCAGCAGGCAGAAAATATGCAGGGAGATATAAGGCCTATTCAAACGTTACTAAAGCGACGTTTATTTTTAAATTCCTACTAAGTTAAGAAGGTAGCTTTTATATATACGCCTAAGTATTAAGTAAAACATTTAAAGGGCGGATTCCTGCTTTGTTTTTTACTTTTATCCTACAACTTATGTCACTTAAAAAGCGACTCTATTCTCGTTGAGTAGAGTACATACTGGCATCCGTTATGTTTGCGGCTATCTCAGCTCGTGAGTTGAATGTTCTGGCTTAAACGAAAAAGCTCATAATATACATACGATATGGCTCCGCTGGGCCGTTAGTTATGAAGTTTATAGTGGAGGCAACGCGGTTCTAGTTACAAGATTGAGAAAAAAACGAGGCTTGGTATTATGTGTAATAATTTACAGATTCAATCGAGCGAAGGCTCGAAAATACTCGAGATATGAAGGAAAACAGATACGAAGAGTAATTGGATAGCCAGGTACATTGTTAAGGACGGTTATGTTATTATGATAAACGATCCCAGCATTAGATATAAAACACGATGTCGGAATGTTATAGGATATTTTTATTAAAGTTTGAGTCGTAAACGGGCGCTTACTGTTCAATCTGAATTTATGTGATGATAGTTCAGAGTTAATGGGAATTAAAATGATTAATTCGTAACTTAAAAATATAACTCTTCCTATACATTTATTTATTTAATTATTGCCTTGTATCGAACGCAACGATGTAAGAATAATGATTTTGTCTGATTAGAATTCATGGTTTTTATTTTAGGTTATATACATAGATTTCGACGAATCTCAAACAATTAATATGACAAGGGCAATAAAAGTGTCCTGCGTTGTAAATTAAATATGGCGAAAGGTATATATAATAGTATGCAACTACACTTTTTAAAGTTTAATAAAGTATTCCATGTAAAGTCAATTTTAAGGATAATTCTTGGTGAACAAATACATATAGGTAATGATATCTGTTTTAAAGGTAAATGAATTATTTTGCACTTTCCAAGTATTACTTATGAGTTACAGTTTTAAACACGTTCGTCATCTAGTCTCATCACATCTTAAATATATACGGCGTAAACTCAACAACGCTTCCAAATTCTGAATAAGAAAACAAAACACAATCGATACCCGATACCAATAAAACGGCGTCTATTCGCAAATACATAAAATATCGGATTCAAGTCTTGCGCACTCTACATAATGCTAGAAGGGTTCCAAGTTTTATAGCGAAGTATTTGCATATAAAGTAACCATTGAAGAAAAGCGATCTCCGTTTTGCTCCGTGCTTTTTTCGTATTCATTGTTACGAAGGCCGACTTCGCTCACATTCAGTTTTATAGCTCGTGATGCTTTCTTAGCGAATAAATAAATAATCGTATCAACAGTTTTTTTCGTTTGATTTATTTGAGAAAGGATTAGGGAAGTTTTATGTTTTGACATTTCGCGTTGATTTATCGCTTTCTCCGTTTTGATAAACTTTTTATGTTTCAGATATATATCTCCACTGCAACGTTGTAAATAGGTGAATACTTTTAATATACTTATATCTAAACAGTATTAAACATGCATTTGAGAAGTATACTCGTAACATTGTCCGAGATTAAAGTCACATAAAATATATAAAGAGATGGCTAAAAACAAAAAAGTCGTAGCGGCCGCGGGCTCAAGCGATTCCCAATAAAAATGATATTTAATTGAAGCCGATAACGTGTCGCGGCAAGACGTCTAATAAACTCTCTACATTATTATCATGTAGCTGTTTGGTGTGAGATAAATATTTTAAGACGTATCTTGTATCTGTAAATGCTTTTTACATGTTTAGTAAACACATATGGACAGAGTTATCATGTTTTTTACCTTTTTGAAAAGGTGTGGGAGAGTTGTTCGTTGAATTAATTCTATTGTGTTTACCTTATGTTTCTGGAAGATGAAACAGTACTGTGTAATTATATATACATATATATATATAGGAAATATTATATGCGACGATAAGTATCTCATCATTTCAATAATAAAAAACGTAATTATGTTTCCAAAATGAAACTTATCCGAGGATGTTTCATTTTGGAAACTTCAAAATTTTGTTAAAAAAAAACAAGTCTATTGAAATATCTCGTACGTACTTATCAATTACCTAATTAGGTGTTACATTCGCTAAATAATACACTTAAGTAATTCCCACATTGTTGCCAGTACATTTGAGCCGCTATGGAGATAAAACGCAACTACAATAGCGTTAAGTGATAGTTATGGCAGTTTTTATAGGCAGTTAGATTTATTTTTACTGCACTGTTTGTTTTAAAGCTTTATCCGCGATCAAGAGTTCGCGACAATAATTGTTCATTCATTTATCAAGTCATAAACGCGTTTTTCCGGGTATTTACATAGGATAAATAAAAAAAAAACTTTCCATCAAAATGTGCCTCCATGCCCAGAATTTGAAACTCAATAACACTATACTATTTTAATTATAGTATCACACTTATTCAGTTCTATATTTGAAAAACTACTTGTTATAGAATTGAATGAATAGTTATAGATAGTAAATATCGAATCTAATTTGAGTTAATGCAATACCAAAAGGTAAAGACCGCTCAGCCTAATCAGGAAATACAGGGTAATAAAATTGGCCAGTGGTGTCTTAATCAAATTGTCCAAATGGCAATCGAGCCAGCGTTTTCGTGACGTGATCTGTTTGTGAGGGTACCCTTACCTTTCGATCTTCATTAACGTTACTTTAATTATATATTACCTTTGTATATGGATCCGTATTATTTTTACGGATATACCAATAAAAGTATTATATATAGTAATATCTAGGTAAATAGTTAGTCTTAGATTCAATTGATTCTATAATTATATATTTTAGGCATTTGTGTCTACATACTACAACTAAAAGCAACATTAAAACTTTATTATTGTAGGTATCTCTGCTGTAAGGTAATTATAGTAAAAATACTACGCCTCCTGATGTAAATAATGTAAAGTCGTTGTCTGAAATTTGATACTCTAATATGATTGTGTGATCTTATCAAGATGACTATTTCATATTCCATATAATCCATATCTATTCCTGTCTCTATGAAACAAAGACCTCTTTAAAAATTCAGCATGTGACTCCAGGGATGTACCCAATAAATCAGTTTTACAGCATTCCCGTGTCATTTCAGTCGCCGAACGGCATAAAATGATAATTTTATTGCGCTCTCCTTCCGTCTCTGAGTTTACGACAATTGTGAAATGTATCGACAGTTTGGGTGTCACCTTCGAGGTGGACCACTCCACCAACCCGTAAGAAGGTGGTTAGAAAATTTTAAACCATCTTTATGTTTCCGAAAATAGGACTGTAAATCGTATAGCATAAGTACACTTATATTTTAGCTCAACGCAACATATGGCGCTTTTCCACAAGTCCCGTTTTCCCCTGTATATATTTTAGGATGAATGTTCTGAAACCCATTAATCTTTCAGGTGGGTGTGGGTGTTCAGGTGTTTTACCCATTGTTTGTGCGATTGATTGAAAATAACCCATCTCAATGCAAAACTATTCATACTTAACGTGCTTTTGTAAAGATTGTAATAATTTGGTATTGGGTTGTAAAATCTGAAGTAATTATAACCTAGTTGATTATTTCATTGATTACTTTTTAGGCATTTTTAACAGATAGCCTCTAGTGATTAAGGCAAAAACAAGGGGTATTTTCTTTTTCATTACGATTATTAAAATATTTTAAACTTTGTACTACTTACTACTTGTATAGATTTCTTCTTCATTTTTTTTTGTTTTAATTCAACAATGATAGAGTTTAAATAAGACACTTTGATTACTGTGTATAGTTTACGCGAGTAGTACACATTTAAATAAAACACTTTAACGACACAGAGACATCCTCCATCTTTAGTCTCCCCGTGACCACGTCTGCTGCAAAGCATCCGAAACGTCGGGCCGAAGTTAAAAATCATTTCAATAAGTTTAACTAATATATCACGTTTTAAACCGTTTAATCATTTTATTTAAATGTGTACTAGTCGCGTAAACTATAGACAGTATTTAATGATAGATAGAAAGTAGATACCTACCCACTAACGCTTTCAGCTACCGTCGTCACCGCACGTATTGATTATTATATATCAACCATTTAAAAACCATTATTATCTGTACTACCTACTCCTATAAACTACGGAGCTCACATTTTTAAATAATTAATGAGATTGACCGACTTTGATGACTGAATAGTGAGACCACTATTCAGTCCCTGTTATAACCTCTTACATATAAACGAAGCTCAGACATTAACACAAGGACTATTTCACTACAATCGTCTAGTTTATAACCCCACTTCACTTTTACAGCTATAAACGGTCACTATAAACCATTTCACTACCTCATCAGCGCCTTGTGAATCAAATGAAAAATAATCGTAGCCTTTTAACAAATAGCTCTCGATATTTATAAGCATTTCATTGACTGAAATTAATCCATTTAATTTGTAATAAAGTTTGATTGATTGATTTCATATTACTTATTAATGTTTTTAAAATTATTATATCGCTTTGCAACAAGAAAGAGCTAACAGATGAATGAAAAATGAATGTAGGAACTTAAAACATAAGCAACAAAACCCTTGCTTTTTTAATGTAGGTGTATCCTTTCATAGCATTTGGAGATTGTCATTGAATAAGACGTTATATGCATAATGTTCGATTAAAGGACAAATAATGGGGTCTTGTGAACTTAATGCACAGTCATTAGGGCAGTCGTGACTTCCTTGATGAGACTTGCTTGCGAAGGGTGAACGTCTAATTACGAAAGGGCTTGAGAACTTTAATGTTGTACTTTTGAAATGCAATTAAAACGACCCCCTACAAGCGATTAGGTAAAATGTAAATTACAGATATAGTTTGCGTACTCAGCATAACACCATCTTCGGTTTAAAGTATTTTTATCGTCTATAGATACCTTATAAAACTACGAACGTAAAGCACGACAAATAATAATAATTTGTCTCACTAAGAGGCCAAATTAGTTGGATTTTTTTTTGCATAGAGTAAATTATATTATTATTACGTAATTTATTACAATAAAAGTGTTTTTGTTGTTTTACTTTTTGTTACAAAGAAAACACTACGTTACGTTTGTACGTCTTCCTCTTTAATTCTTGGTAACAATAAACTATGAATTCTACCCACGAGTACAAAACCCGACGCGTCCATTCACACATACAAAGATCCTACCGGTTACTGCGAATGTTTGCGTTGGTATAGATTAGCGCGGGTCGCCGCGCCAGCGAACGTCACAAAATGGCTGCCGTAAAAACAAGTGAAGAGTGAGTTACGTTCGTCGGGCGCGTGGGTCGTGGGGGGAGAGGGAGACGCCAGCCAATCGCATCGCTGAACTGGCATCGACGCATTCTCCCGCCAACTCTGCTCTTTCTTTTATGGACGTTGTTTTTCCTTAGCGCGCTTTTTCCTGATTTTTTGCGGGAAACTGTTTTGTGTGCTTTGTAAGCCGCTACAATGTGGCTTTTAGTGTTTTTCTTTTGTAATGTTGGGGTTACTTTATTATTTTATCTGTGTCTATTGAGAAGCTAATACTTTAATCATAACGAAGGACTAAATCTTAATAATATTATATGGAAGAATGGATTAGAGAGATTATTAGAACATGTTAAAATTTGTAAATATTACGACGGTAGATAACAGTGGATAATTTTCTTTAAAAAACCAGCATTATTGTACCGGGTCTCAAGGCACATGGATGTAGAAAGCAAAATAACAATAATCTTTCCAGCAGTTGCAGCGGAAATAGTTATTAAGTAGGTACTTAGCGAGTTGGTATTTATTTACCGTTCATTCGTTAAAAGTAATAAAATAAACATCCACTCATATCCACTAATAGCTACAAAACAAAACTTCACTTAATCCAACAAGATAATAAAAAGTAAAAAGTTATTTAGTACAACACGAAACTCATCAGAAAAGTTGCTGGGCAATAATTTATCCTAAGATGGAGCCAACGTCTCAACGTCTTGTAATATCTTCCACTGACATATTTATTGTTTCCAAGGGGCGGGGGATGAACCTTCTCCGAAGGGGACGCACGAACAAATATTTTACTCCTAAAAACATATCTTGATCTCTATTTTTGTTCTTCGTTTATATAAACAGACAAAACGTTTATCTTGTCGCGTAGAAGCTATTAAGACGTTAAATTTATGAAAACATATCTGCCCAATCTTGTAATTTTGTCAAATTTATTACTTTGACTGTCTTAATCTGCCTACCTGTATGTCCTGTTATGTTTGAAAATCGAATATTTAAAACATAAATTCATGGGTTCATAAATAGGACCTTAATAAAGACGTAAAAATAATGATGACTAACAAAGTGGTCGGTATTTGGTGTTCGTCGATATTTCTGTCGAGGCTGGCGTTGCGTTCACCTACTGTATGGTTAGGGCGTGTTTATACAGGCGTCTCTCAGCTGCGGAGTAAAATTAAAAACCGGACGAGTTGGACAGGGCTATCAAAACAATTTTACAGACAGGACGTTGATAGAACGAGCTACTGAAGACAAGGGTAAAAACATGTTCTATTCTTAATACTATAACTAATAGAAAATCATAAAACTAGCATTCCTGCACTTAATAATTTAGGGGTTTTGCAAATAAAAATATAATACAATACATCTCCTTTTTAACACATAGTTAGTATTTTTGTCATTCGTTAATATGGGAAAATGTGAGTATAGTAAAACATAATAAATATTTTGCATTTTCAGTGTATTTATTTTTGTTAAATTATTTTGTTAAGTCTTACAGAACTTGAAATTTAATTTGTGAATAAGTAATATCGTGTATGGGTTGTTTGAAACGTTATTTAAGGAGTATGAGTATATATTTTGTATGTATGACAGCCCTGAAAACCGAAACGGGCGCCTTTGGGTTCCAGGCTCGGGTCGACGACCGACCGCACACTGAAATATCGCAATATCTGGCTTGCCTTAATCCCGTAGAGCGCGAGTTTGTGCCCGGCTTTAGCCTTAATATTGTTAGATTTATGCGTTTCTGCGCCTTATTAGGTTAGCTTATTACAGCTCAACTGTCAGAAAAGCCAATTATATTTGAATAAACTAAAATATTCAACAGTAGATCAATTAATTGCATACATAGCAACTAGGAAATAGTTCTTGATAAAAGTTCTAATAGTAAAGTGATAAAAACCCAAAATTATCTAATCTAAATAATATGTTCTATATTCCGTTCCAATTAGCTTGATATGAAAATAAGTGAACATTAAAATGCAAGTAAACTGAAATATATAAGTATATATATTCAAGTGTCACTTAAAACAATGGCATTATTTTATAGTTTTACTATACTTTGATTCATATAAAATGGGACAAGAATGTCGTGGAATATTTCTCCATGACTCACATAGGTTGTCGTAGCTTCTAGCTACGAGGACAGTGAATTAAGACATTTCGTAAACCACAAAATAAGTTACTCGATGTCCATTATTTACATAGCTACTAGCCTATAAATAAATACCGGCTCACTCACACGTGCACAATATGACGTTGTTTTAAGTTTATTTTATTTTTATACCAGGCGTTGAGCGCGAACGGCCTGTAATTTCGCGGTGCTCGAGGCGCTCAGGCGCGTACGCCGGACAAAGATGGCGGAGATAAAGTTCGAAATTTGAATTGCATTCGATTTTCAAATAAGTGTAAGCGGCCATGTACACACGTTTCCATTAACGTTATCGTCTGTGCTTAAGAGAAGAAATTCACTTTCAAGAGCGTAAGTGCATGTTAATAACCTCTCTATGGTCATGACTCAGATATGGTTCTGGTGTTTTATTTTATGGAGATGCACTATATAAACGTAAGTGAGACAAATTATTTTAGTTTATTACATAATTACAAGTAGTAAATTCAAGGTGATTATCGCATACGTTATACGTTACAATCACTGCTTCATAGTTCAAAATGATCATAAGTGCAAAACCTAATTACAGAATTAAGACTGTAATCATTCTTTTATTTTACAAGTAGGTGCATGAATATCGATTGACATTACCTTATAATACTTGTGTGTAAATTTAAAGAAGACACTTTAACGGTTTAAAACGCGATATATATTAGTCAAAATTATTTGAATTATTAATTATTTTTAACTTCGGTCCGACGTTTCGGATACTTTGCAGCAGCCGTGGTCACAGGAAGACGAAAACGAAATGTCGAGCCGAAGTTAAAAATAATTTACAAATAAAGTTTAAGTAATATATATCGCGTTTTAAACCGTTAAAGTGTTTTATTTAAATGTGTACTACTTGCGTAAACTACAGCTACTATTTACTCGTGTGTAATACAAAATTTAGCTCAAGTACAATAAATGTAATTAAAAACCCAGTTAAGAATGACCTAAGATATAATTATATTCTGTAGATGGTGATTAAAGAGCTATGACATATATTTATGAGTCGGGAATATTATATCTAACAAACAGTAGGCAGTCGTGACAATTAACGATATCCTTAAAGTAATAAATCGTTGAAATATATCCACGACTGAAATTCGTGAGCGCCACTAAACCCGGTTCGTGTAACACGTTTGCATGAAACTCGGCAATTTGTACATAAGGAAGCCAAGGATTGGTGGACGTTATTTCTATGCACTACATAGGTATATCGTAGGAATGGAAAACCCTATGTGAAGTTGTTTTTTGATAACTGTTTTCCATAATTTCGTGTTTTTAATAAGTCTGTGAGTTATATGTATTATGAAAGGTTAACCGTTGATAAAGAGACATATTTTTGAGTTCATTATAACCCCGGGGTTCACACCCAGAGTCTCTCCAGCTTAAGCTGCGCGTTTAAGCAAGGTGATCTAAGCGGTAAGGTACGGCGACGGTAAAGTAGACGGCAGAATTTTTATCGCAAGCCCGTTATCGCGGCGGATCATAAATCTGTTTTCGAATCGTGAGTCGCCATTGTTGGCCGTGCATATGCCTCACCCGGCACGCGAATATAACCCGCCGCATTATCAACTTAAAGTATAATTTACGACGATACAATATGTTTACTGCTCGAGAATTCGAAGGGTTATTGTCGCATTGTACCTAAGTATTGCCAATGCACGTAAAATACTAGGCTAGGTTCTTAAAATGCCAAACTTATTTACGGTTCGAGGGCGTTCACGGAGAATGACTTCACCGGAAGATAATGGCTCACCTAAAATACGGGCTCGCTGGGCTTGGAAAGAATTATTTTTCGCTGAAAAAAATTTATGGCCATTTTGAACTTTGTATAAAATTTTACTTGGAAGATTACTTTTGTAATTTGTATGGCTCTGTTTGAGCAGTGGTAGGCACGATTATATAAATATTATGATAGGTATAGCATTAATACATTCGTATAAAAAGTAGAAGTAGTTCTATTATACTGCCATCATGTGCAATATGTGAAAAATGTAAAAGTTTAAGAATTGTACGAATAAAAGTAATTTCATAAACACGGTATAAGGAAAACAAATTATATATTAATTATGTACAAAACTATGCTGGCTATTGACAAATAGATCAAAATATTACCAAATTATACAATGCGTCAAAAAATATCTACACGAGAAGTTTGGTAAAGACAGACATATATTATTGAAAATTTCCTTTCTTATTATGTAAACTGTGTCAAACAAATTATAAATTTCTTAGAGGAAGTGTCTGATGAAGCCAGCATATTGTAGGTAGAGAATGTATTAATTATAGGGGTTTATTGGCTCAGTCAATAGTCATTTATAGCTCTCTCACTGAGGTTCAATTACGATGGATTAATTCATCAGATGAGGTCGTTTCGCGGATATTGCTCATGGCTAAGTCAATTTGCTCTATGCGATTAAATGTAAATATATTTTGTATATATTATTTTAATTATGCGTTCATTATAAATAATTCCCTAAAACCACGATTTACGAATACATTTCGAATTATTTATAACAGTTTTAAACGGATTGGATGATGAAACATAAAGTTATTAGACATCAAATAGTAAATAAGACCCGACAAACTGAATATTTTTATTATAGAGTGGGACTACCTAAGATATTGTAAAATTTTTAATATTTCCACTATAGATAACTGTCGTCTGAACATTTCAAGATTACGGACTGTCTCACAAGTTATTAATATAGTGATATTCTAATTATATTATGCATATTAATCTAATTGGTCAAAGGCCAGCGTAGATAAAATGTAACCTATAAATAATACTATTAACACGATGTGAGCTGACTGACCTTCAAAAGTCGTGTCTGTGAGCATTCATCTTTTACATAAGTCTCGTCCACATTTATTGTTTTTATTATTGTATTTATCAATGATTAATACTGTACCTATATTCCGTACTTACGTACTAATATCACAGAACTACATCCTTAACTCAACACCACCACAAATGAAGTTAATGTTTACTAAGAAAATAAATAATTTAATACGTATTATTGTCAGTTTTAATATTCCTATTATATATTTATTTTAATACACAGATTCAGACAATTTATTTTCTTATCTGAGATATCTTATTCATGCACGCCTTGCTTTTTGGTAGGTATTAAAAGATTTTTTAATATGTGTGTTGCATTTTTTAATGTCAAATCAGCAATATCTCCCTTGAAGCAGAGGAATAAAAGTATCTAGAGTCTAAGAAGCTAATAGGTACTGTTTTAATAAAACCCTTTTTAACAGGTGAAAACACAAAATATAGTAATTAAATAATGCCGTGATCACGGTCGTGCCAAAGCATCGGAAACGTTGGGTTGTATTTAAAAATAAGTACCTAATATATTTCGTGTTTTAAAGAAATTTTAAAATAAAACGATTTTTAATGTTTATTTAAACGTGTTTCTTATGCGTCTAAATTTTATAATATATCAATGATCAAAATTTCTAGCGAGTACGGCCGCAAGTCAAAGCTAGTAAAGACAAGCCCGCACCCAAATATTTGATTTATTACTTAGATCTAGCGCAATTAGAGTTAGCCTGCGGGTCTCTGCGGGAGTGATTTATGATGATTCAGGGCAATCGTGAGCGATCCAGACTTTTTCTATTTTACGACAATCTCCTCGATGAACGCTCCGTGTGGTTAGGACGCCATCTTGGATTCGACCTATTGCGGTTTTCGAATGACGTCTCACTCGCGACAATTCTAGACAACTATATCGTAAAATTACTTATTTTTAGCAAAATAGAACCTGCTTCGTGGTCGTGGATTTTTTACTTATTTTTCAATATACACAAACATTGTTGCAGAATATTTATGTATTCTGCAATCGTCGCATATTAGTTCTATACCTACCTATGTAATGAAAATCGTCCAATGTCCTATTAAACGTTTTTAAAGCTGCATTATTTGACATTTCATCCTTTATTAACTCCTGAAACTCTTCAATAGTCCTTACTAGTCTTTATTGATTTTTTACGCGTTACATTATAGTGTTGTCACTAACTTAACCAACGAAAAGCTATAAAGCGATACTAAAGGTGACACTTACATGTAGATCGTTCTTACACGGAGCCGATAGGGCGTCATAGGCTGTCGCTAGAACCGATAAACAAATCGTCACCCCACTTTCTCGACCCCTCCTTCGTGATGCGGAACTTTAGTATGACACGAAAACTCCTGAATACAAACTACGTAATCAGATATGTTAAACACGATCGAAAATTTCATAACTGGTAACGATACAAGTCACGCACCGCTCCGTATCGCTGTTGCTTCAGAACTATTTCTATGCAAATTCAGAACGAACGAGAAAGAAAAGACTTTCGTTTCCCACAAAACTCAAAATATTTAACCGAAGTTTATGCAAATCGCGCTATCTGCGATTGTGAGTCAAATGGGGTAATAATTGTTTATTGTTTCACTGGAACGAGATCTTTTTCGTTCGGACAAAGGCGTCGGTGATTTGCCTAATGCGTATCGATAATTTATGAAAAGGTTACGCAAGATTTGCCTATTGTTGCTTCGAACACTCTCGGTTTCAGCGTACTCATTTGCATAACAGGGTGAAGGCACAAAGCTCGGACACCCTTTCAATCCTTCTCGTTTCACTTTTAAGGCATTCAATTGTTGACATTTGAAAGTGTAATATAAATCAGGAACTTTATACCCGACGCATGTGGTATATTGGACTACATTGTTGCTTAACTAAAAGGTCCGGTCGTTCGATATGTACCTCTTTACGAATTGCACGAAAAGTTCGTTCTCAAACAGGTTTTCGAAAAATTATTACAGTGTTTTTGGAATTATTTATAAAAAGGAAAAAATTATAGTGATTAAGATAGCTTGGTTAAAATTTCAGGACATCAGCAATAGGCATAGCCTCTTAGCTGTAATTTTGGCATTACTCTTGATAACACTTATTTTCTTTTGTTCACAATAGGTATAGGTTACATACCTAGGTAAAACCTATACCTATTTCTACTCGTACTCCATGATTTGTAGGAATCTTGCGCGTCATGTTACCTACGTGGCACAGCTAGTAATTATGTTAAATTATTATATATTAGTTCACGGGCCTTCAACATTCTGTATATGTATGTACATTGCTTACTAAGAAGTGGGAAAATACAAAGTAACTTTGCAAGTAAATGTACTTATCATATAATATCGATTTAAAAACAATCGCTTACATTTTTATTAAGCAGTCATTGATGGTAAAATGGTTAAAATAAATGGCAATAACACACGTCATTATGCGTATAATATCGTTTTACAACTTTAGGGCAATAAATAAATTGACTGCCGTTTGTACATTTTATTACGATTTAAAAGTCGATGAATGTTTGAAACGAATAATTGATTTATGCCGGTTATTAATGTTAATTTG